ACCAAACCCACAAGATCCATCTAGTAAAATTATGAGAAACCCATTTTAATATAGTCGAAAAGCGTGAGAAATAAGAAATATATAAATCCAATTTGTTGGTTCATGCAAAACACCGAGATGGAGTGATCAATGTAGAGAAAATCCATCAATTTTATTTAATTAATAAAAAAGCCATAATTAGAGGATAACAAAAAACTTAACCCTTTTGTATACATGTGGCGGAATAGACATAAAATAGTGTTACAAAAGAAAAAAAAACGTGAAATAGTGTTGTAAAAGAAAAAACCAAAAAACGAGAGTGGAAAAGGGAAAACGAGAGCACCACATACATGCAGTTCCTCCGCCTTCGTGGCTACCGTAATAGGTTGCTCTTGAGTTGTAAAATCCCTGGCCATGGCCATAACAAGTTGCTGCCAATAGCAATATCATAGGAAAAAAGAAGAAATAAGAACCCATTTTTCAGACAATTTCAATTCTTGAATGGAAAAGGACACAACTTATGGAACTAAAGGATTTATGAATGGACGAGGGATATGCAAAAGCTGGAATTTAGATGCCATATTTATAGCAGAACAAAAGCACGCACTGAGAATTGATGATTCTAATATCTACCGCTTTTCTCCCACTAATGACTAATGGTGAAAAGGAAAGGTAAAACTGGAGATGGGTACAAACTACCGACACCTATCAATATTGTTACAATTATGTTAGTTGTATATTCAAAGTGTACATTAAGGTTGACACTGTGTAATGTGTCAAAATATGAGTTATTGGTTGTTTAAAGTGTTTTTAAAATCAATGTATAAAAAGTTGCTACCTTAAAACAATGTGAAACTTGATGTACATGTAGCAAAATTGATATTGTCAAGGGTAAAACTTACATATTCAAACGTACAACTTATAATGGCTTGAATTATTCCTCTTAACCATATTAACATTTTTTGGTGGAATATCAAATTCAATATGTAAGACGTGTCAGAGTCTAAGAAGCTCAAATGTGCAATTTTATTCATCAAAAGCTTAAATGAGTAAATCCAATTTCAAATTAATAGTAAAAAATGAGCTACGATTTTTTGGGAACATGCAACACATAAGAGTCTGAGTTACAGCTCCTTACAAAATCATCTTTATAATTTGTTCGCATAAACAACATGAAATTACAAAAGAAGTCGTACCATAGGGGACGGGGATAACAACCATCCCGAAACATTTTAATTTTTAAAAAAATACATAATACTTATATGTATCGTCTTTTATTATTACTTTTTGCCCCCAAAGTGATAATCCAGCTTTGCCATTGGAAAAGAACATCGTCATAGAATGAATCGCCTGTGTCTTTAAAGTTCTTGTTTAATTTGGGAGTGTTTAAATTATAAATTAAGAAGCAGATATCATAGAATGTGTGAATAAAAACTTGGCGATAGGTTGTAGGTTCATAGAATATTGGATAAAATGTTTTTGACCAGTTTAATGATGGTTTTTAGTGAAACTTAAAATTTTAGAGATGCTAAAACTTTAATATGATGTAACACTAAATTTTACTAGAATGTTTTTCACCTCCTCCAAAATTATTAGCGTACGCTACATTATGATGGCAATTACGAACAAAATGACAATTCGTCATCATATAGTTAAATTCAAAATGCAACTCTATTATAGCAAAAAGAATGACTACTTGTGTACCTCGTTCTTAACATATTAACCCCAATCAGTTCGTGTACATATTTTTTCTACCTTCTTAGAGCATTATCAATGGTTACACCAAATTTGGTGTAAACATTGGAGATGCTCTGAACACCAAATTTTACATCTAAAAGGATATGGATGTACCACTAGGGATAGTCTTACACCAAATTTGGTGTAAATAATGTTGCACCAATTAAATTTATTACATCAAATTTGATGTACCATTGGAGATGATCTTACACTGCATATACGCAAATGTACAGTATGTATATGGTAATTAGGATTGCACTTTTTAACTATATGAATTTTATTCATTTTGACAAAATAAATAGAGAAAATATATGTACATACCATGGTAATTAGTCCGGTAAAGGTCAAGTCCCGCACATGAATACACTCAAAACATAATTATAAAACTCGGCTCGGCCATATTGCCCACAAGCTCATGGCTCGTTTGGAATTCTAGGCTCATCTCGAGCTTGTGGCTTGCCCCTTTATTTTTAGATAGAGTCCCCTCCTTTATCCGGGTTTGGGAACATCTACTTAAATTTTGAGTAGACGGAATTAAAAATTGTACACGAACTTGTTGTGTGTACAATTTTTTTTAAAAAAGTAAAAAGTAGTATTATAAAATAACAAATTTTATTAATATAGTTAAATTAAATATCACTTACCTGATGACATGAGATTTTGAAATATTTATCTTACAGTCGGAAATGAGAGCCTTATTAATCCTTCACGTACATTAATAGTTCCAAAATATCTTCTTATAGTCGGCTTCTAACCTCGGACAGAACCCTTCTTACCTGCACTAAAAGCAGACTCCGAAACTATAGTGCTAATCGGAGATATTAGTTGGTCATTTGCAATCGCATAAACCACTGGTCATTATCGTTCATACTTTATCAAAAGTTAATTACTTATTCTGAACTTTTTTTAATTGATGTATTACTTGGCATATTATGATTAAAGTAATCANNTATTATGATTAAAGTAATCAAGTAATTCAGCAGGCAATACATTTGGACTTGTGACCGATATCGAATTACATGCGGTAGATATACTATTACTAGAAGAACCTATTGCATCATATCTATATGTATTAATGCCTTTAAATAAATTTAATATTTCAACTTTGTCTTCTTCAATATTAGTGGGAAGAGTAGGTGCAGAAGGTGCCCGACTAATATTTATGCCCATTTGTTTTGCATATAATTCATATATTTCACATAAAGTTTGTTCTAAATTTCTGTAAGTGATAGATGCGTTAAATGTTAAAGATTTTAAAATCTGATTAATTATATATTTAGTATCTGATAAATTGTATTGGGTGTCCATGATATATGCTAAAGGAAATAACATAGGTAAGTCTCCCCAATATTTTCTAAACTTTAATTCTATAGAATATATAATTTCACTAAATCATGGTCATTTTTGTATTTATAAAAAGCCCTTGCAATGAAATAAAGACGTTAAAACACCATAAAACTAGTGAGATAATATACTCCACATAAAATATTTGTAAAGTCATAAAAACTTGTCAAAATATTTTTAATTTCAAAGCTAAAAGCCAATCAAATTCATTCAAAATAATGTCATCATCGTTTCTAATATGCCTATTGTTATAAAATTCAGTGATAAACGGTTCAAAACCTTCACATGATTTTAATAATAAGTAAGTTGAATTCCACCTATGACCTACGTCAGTAATAAAAGTTTTTGTATTAGAGTTCCCAGCTTGTTCACAAAATNAATTCGGTTATTAAATGTTAAAATCCTTAACATAATTTTAATAATAAGTAAGTGGAGTTCCATTAATGTCCTACGTCATTAACAAATATTTTCGTATTCGTCACCTCAAATTCAGCACAAAATACCTCGAAAGCTTGTTTTTTGTTAAATGAAATTGTGATATATATTAGTGCGCATCTCTAATTCTTTGAATTTCATTCTTAATATGTTTCAAATAATCTTACACAATCAAACTAAAAATATGACACGTGCAACAAATATGAAATAAATAAACACCGAAGTCGGGCTACAGTGCCCTACACAATTTATCGATAACTGGTTATTAATACTAGCATTGTCAAATGTAAAATAACGAATTTTACTATCGCAATGATATTTTCTAATAATGCTCATAACATCATCAAATATATTGTTAGCGTTGTGAGGAAATTCAATTATTTTAAAAGCATTAATTTTTTTATGCTTACACCGAAGTGGGTCTATTGTCTTTTAGGATAGATTGGATTTCGTTACTAACAAGTAGCACCTCAATCACATATGAACCAACAAACATAACTTCTCCTTTTATTATTGAACTACTTAATTCCAAGTGTAGAATGTTTATTTGGTATCAATTGATCTACTTGTATTAGAATTGAACCTTACTATGTAGACCCTTAATCAAAACGTTATTGAACATGGCACTAGACTAAGACATTATCATACAAACTAACATCCTTAAAAAGTAAATAGCCATTTATCCTATTCCATAGTAGTTTTAGATTTGAATGAGGATAAACTCTCGAAGATAGAATTCCATCTCCAGATTAATCCTAGTATAAAGTGAATAATCATATGATAATTTTTGTACATATAAAATATATGAGTAGAGTAGGAACTTTATTTTTGGTTACCATACTTGAGCTGTCGGCATATTTAGTCTTAGTTATAATGAAAGAAGTACCATGATTAAAAAAAAAATACCTTCACCACTCACCAGTATATAGATATTTCTGTTGTGGAGGGACATGATATTTCGTCAATATTGGATGGACAAGTTAGCTCCCATTAGGGACATTTTAGAGAAATATTCCTAGGTAGTCGAAATAAAGTAGAAATAAAATAATAATTTTCTAAANGAGTTTATAGTTATTTGACACCTGTCTCGTAGAAATATTTTGAGAATAAATTTTGTGAAAAGTAAATTTTTTGAAGAATGTATGATTATAAAATAAAGAAAAGTTGTGAATCCACATAACAATTATTTATTGAAAGAATGTGTAGTTGATAATGAATTTTAGAAAATTGGACTAGGGCAATCTAGAATGAAATAATAATGAGATAAGTTTTATAAACAGAAACTCTTATCCTCTATGGAAAATCTCATTTTTTCTTAGTAAGGTATCATTATTCTATTTTTGAACATCAATGATAATATTTAGAGCGAAATTAAAAAGTAATATTTTTCTTTCAAAAATAATTGATTTCACGAAACATAAACGCAAAATCTTGAGCTATTTACATGGAAAGATCCATGAGATAATGTTTTGATGAGGAGTACTTAAATTGGTGGAGTTGAATCCAAGGGNGTTATGACGAGGAGCACTAAAATTGGTGGAGTTGAATCCAAGGGGCCCCACTTATTAGTCTTTACTTGGAGGAAGAAATTGATTAGGATAATGATACTAAGCCAAGGGGGTGGCAGAATGGATAAATCCAAATAATTAAGAATAATGCTCTTTGTACAGGGCAATGACATGGGAGAGATAGGATGGTATTGACACGTGTTTCTTCTGTCATTGAACTTGTCATTGTAGCATAACTCAATTCATTAACGGAGAAATTACTCCACCCAAAAGAACAGTGAATCTAGATATTTAGAGTAGATTCAGTTAATTAAGATTGTGATTATTGTCAAATTTATCATTTGAGGAATTGTTCTCTTTTTAAATAATATGTATTTTTTGAGTATTTTAAATAAATATACAATTTCTTCCTTTAAAAGTGTTATCAATGCAATTCGAACTAGAATCTAAAAAGTTTTGGAAACTATAAATAGAGCTTGTTTGGCAGAGGTTCTACTTTTGCTTCTTATAAATAGACCAACTTTCTCTAAAAACTCTTCTAAACGTATAAAGTAGTTCTAGAAAACTATTTAAACATTTTCTAAAGCAACATCTTAGTTTTAGAAATAATTTTTGACTACAAAGACTCCGTCAAACAGGCCATAACCTTCTAAAAACTCCTTCAACCACACTCATGTACCAAATACACCCTTATTATACACTCATCTCTTTTTTTTTTTTTTCCAATCGTGAACCCCTATTTCTATATTTGACTTCTATGACAAGACCTAATTCAGTAGATCGGTTATTATCAAGAATAACCAAGCAACATGGAGCAATCAACCCAACCATCACTAAGAATTGATGGCATATAAAGTTGGCTACAAATAAACAACAAGTGTTTAATAAAGAGTTGATTTAGCAAAGGCATAAAAGATGAAGACGAGCACGGGATCAACAAATTGTTGATTCTTTCGAATATTAATTTAAATCAAAATTAGAGAAAATTCGTAGTATATTAATTTTTCAAACTAACAAAAATAAATAATACGTGGCATGCTACTTAAAAGAAAATATAATCTAATCTAATGCTGCGTTGCATGAAAACTTCTAAAAGGCTAGTGCTTTTATAGTGGACATGTTTCATATGCTCTTTGGAAACTCTCAAAAACATTTTTTAAACTCAAAAAACAGTTTCCTAAGATTTTTATTTTGTAAAATATGGAAATTTTTAAAAACCTCAACATAAAGTTTTAAGAAACTTTCAACTATAATATTTGAAAGGAAAAACACGTAACTATAAAGGTTTCAAAATACATTTTCAAAAATAAGAATAACCGAGCAAAATGGAGCAATTGACCCAACCATCACCAAGAATATTATTTTGTTTTATGTTCTTTTATATCCATATTATAACTGAAAAGATAAATTTTGTGTAAATTCGTACCTTCCAATGCAAACGTATATTTGGTTTTCTTATTTGAATTTATGCTGCTAATGAAGATCATAGAAAATGAGAACACAAAATTGTACCTATGGCCCATTTTTCTGCCAGTGACTTGTTACCACTATCAAATGACAAAACTACATAAAATTGTTAGATGTCTCAACTAATAATATTATTAATAGCAAATAAATTAAACCAGTAACTATTTTTAATATAGACAAATAGACTAAAACAAACCTAACATCGAACAACTGTTGACGTTGACATGGTTTGATATAAGAATTTAAGGTGCTGATATTGGGCTCTCCCGAGCATACTACCTAATCATAATATTAAAGAAAACAATTAAAAACAAAGAAATAGTAAAAATAATACGGTCAAAACTCGAGTGATCAAAACAAAGTTAAGTGACTAAATTGCTACCAATTTGAAGTTCAGTGTCTGATTGTAGTTGGGATAAAAGTTTGGTGACGACTAGTACAATTAACCCAAGTGCAAGTGGAAGGCCACGTGATAGATAGAAGTAATGACAGAAGAATCAATGAAACAGACAAACGACTCCTGGTTGATATGGTCAAATTTTGGCCATTAAACTTATAAAAATAACTTCAACATGTTCGTTAAAAAAATGTACTGCAAGCGTATGGGTCATGTAAAAGTAATAAAATAGACAAACGAGTCCTGGTTGTCAATTCCACGAAAAAATGATTACTCAACTACACAATATTTAAATTTAATTTTAACATATTTTTAGTAGAATTTTAAGCTATTTTCATCATTTAAGAATTTCAAATTTATTGTGTATTTCATTATTAAAATTAAATTAAAATAAAATTTGAATTTTGCAATGAAACGCTTGATACGTTTAATTAAATAGATCGTGCAATGAAACAAACAAAAAAATTAATTAGAATTTGAACTTGATTAATAAAAAACACGCAATCAATTTGGTTTTTTGTCCAATCCTAATGGAAGATTCGAGATCCTATTGTCAGAAGGATAAATGATTTGGAACCCAGCTAAATTTTGACATTAACAACTATCAAAAAGTTTTAAGTTTATTATATTATACAAATGGCTAACTAGAGCATCTCCAATCTATGATTCTTTAATTCTAAGATGCTCTTCACTTTAGAGAGTCATACATGAACTTAAGCTCCAATAGATGAGTTTGGCTCTTCAACCCTCTATATATTCTTACTTTGGTGGACGTTTTATAAGTTACAAATTTCAATAATTTACTTCTTAAGTTATTGAATAAGTGACCATTGACATATAAAAAATATGTTACGTATAGTATGAGGAGAAATCAATAAATATTTATTAAAAAATGGAAATGACATGTCAAAATAAAAAGTATTGTTGGAGTGTATAGAAAAAATTTAATTCTCTAATTAATTTAAACATATTCTATATTATACATAAGATGTTTTTTTATGAATATAATGGTTGCATTTAATAAAATGCAAATTTTGATTATTCACTTATTGGATTATTATCTTCGAATTTATTGGCCGTTGATATCTAAAAAAATATATGTTGATTAAAAAAGTGGAAAAATAATAAATATATTTTGAAAAAGTAAAATGAAGAGCTTGTTTTAGTGTATTGAAAATCTTATTGTTTAAATTTAAAAATGTTCTCTATTATGTATGATATGTTCTTTAAAAATAAAAAGATTATTAGAGAGGTTCTTACATGCAACAAATTTGACTCTTAACACATTAATAAACTGGGATTAATGTCCCATAAACTTAGCTAAAAAATATTAAATTTGCACAAGAGTAGTACTAAATAACTAACTATTTGAAAAATTTTATTTCATCACGACCAAACACAAGTCCCACTCATTTATTTTTGAGTTGTTTCACATAAAGTGAGTACTAGACCTACCAAGTAGTTGATATATATATATATATATATATATATATATATATATATAACATAAGGTAAACAGTAGGTGGAAGTGGTAGCTCGGAGCTTAATTATGTTGAGATGCAANTAAGGTAAACAGTAGGTGGAAGTGGTAGCTCGGAGCTTAATTATGTTGAGATGTAGTGTCATATGCAACTCCAACCTTCCAATCCTTAGGGATGGGGAAGATTAAATGTGATGTCTTGACTTGATCCTGGTTGGCATAGTGAACTCTAGCGCGAAGAGATCCCATGGGTGGATTTGTAATGTCGAACACTGTTCCAAACGCCCTGCGCATTGGCCTCCATTCCTCGCAATTCACCTTTGTTCATTAACAGAAATGGGATACAACATCAATGACCATTGAAAAGAATATTTAATTGTGTTTAAAAAGTTACTTTGTTAGAAATTATGTCTTTTGCTAGTAAAACAAGTAATTTTGGAAATTAGTTTTGACAAAATAAGTAACCTCAACGGAAAGCCACTTCTTTGGTTTAGATAATAATTAGAATTTTAGTAGATTTTGATAAAAGTTGATGCAATGTGTGGTTGAAAAGTTATAAGTACCATAAAATGCGTGATTAAAATTAATTTTTTACTTTGATTTAGATTTTAATCAAATTTTTTTTACTTGAATCAAATAGGGGTTAAGTTTGACTTACATTTTAATCTTTACATAACTTATGGTACTTAAGTACTAATTAAATTTCCTATGCTTACTTTTTAGGTTGTAATATTCGAGAAAAGTAAGTTGATTTGGTTGAATGGAAAATATAACCTAGTAGTGACCTACTTCAAATTGAAATTGAAGAGAATAATTCGTTAAAACGGTAAGCTTCTGAGCAAAAATTTTCATAAGAAAAGTAATTTCTAACGAGTTCAAAACGTTAACTAGCTTTTAAACATTGGAAAACATGATGGCATAAAAACTTGGTGCTCGTGACTTAGAAAACGGAAAGGTTTTGTTAGAGGATATACCAGCCCGATGTCTATACCAGTGATATCAGAAATTCACTCACTGAATAAAGGAAACATGGCCAAGTAGGAAGGGTAATTGCTACTCTCATGGATACTTAGCTCAAGGTCGCGACCATAATCTCTATGA